CACATTCCCAGATACCCCTCAATGCCGTCATTAAAGCCAAGTAACCCCTCCTCCCACATTCCCACATACCCCTCTGTTAACCCATGTTACCGCTCCCCAGACATTCCCGCACACCCCCCCAGATAGGTTATCCCTCCCCAGACATTCCCGCATGGTTGCCTCAATGAAGACAGTACAACAAACCAAAATACAGAAACACCAAAAGCCATAGTAAGAAAAAAACTGAACAATGAAAATATGAAGTAACCAAAGTAACTAAAAGAACTGGAAGCATGGTAAAATACATGAAATCTCAGTGGAAGCACGAAGTCGCACAGTAGTGTCAATATGAAAAAAAAAAAAAAAAAGTAAACAAGAGGAAATATTATAAAAGAAGAATAACTACAAAATAAAACAAAAAAAAACAAGAAGAAGAACGAAACCTGTGAAACTCTAAATGAAGAAAGATACACACAAACATCATCGGCGTGAAATCGAAGTCCTAGTCTACGGTGCATCGCACTGCCCGTCGTCTGTGTCATCATCGTCGATGATGCGCTCTCGCCGCCTTTGCGGCACCTTCGCCGTCATCTCCTCTCCCTCCCCTGGATGCTGTGACACAGACACGGCATGACTGGCAACTGCTCTGGCTGCCACCCTCTCTGCCTCCTGGACTTCCACCTCTCTCTCAACACCCCCTCCACCAGAACGTCCCAAAACGCCGGTCAGAGTCGTGTATGTCTTCCTACCCCTAGGCATGGGCACCCCATCCATCGCGGAATCCTCCGTGTGGCCCCCAACAGCTCGACGACTGCCCGGTCTTGTACCTGTCTGACGTCGCGACTCCTCATCCAGTATCCTGTGTGCAGTAGAAATACAACCTCCACGGCTCGTCTGCAAAGTGATAGGATCAGGGTCATCCTCCAGCAATGTTGGGGGTGGTCGGGCACCTGGCAAAGCACGTGTGGAAGATCGCCCTTTCGGACGTCGATGACCATCTCGTTGTGCCGCACCTGTTGTGGGCGGTCGTCACGGCGGTGCAACCATTGTGCTGCCCCGTCGATCTGCAGCACACGACGACCCGGCACCAACATGCTTCAACCTATCTCCCTTCCGTACCCAGCCTTCTGCGTCCGCAAACATCTCTGTCAACCTCCCCTCATGATCCCTCCTCTCACCCGTGACCCCAGGCATAGCATCCTTGAGTTTGCGGGTGACCATGCTGATGCCGCTCCATGATACGGACTTCCCCTTCGGCTTCGATGAAGGTGATGGAGAACCCTGCACCTGCATGCGCCCTCCTGCCGTCGTCGGCGCAGCAGAACCCTCTCCCCAACCAACACTCCCGCCCGAAAGGCCCGACCGTCCGCCGACAACTGCGGGACCACCTCCCCCGCCCACAACACTGCCACCAGACTCACCTCCCCGTCCACTCACCGCCCATGCACATGCTGGTCCTGTCCCTGCAGCAGCTGGCCCTGCTCCCCATGATACCCCTCCCGGCTCGATAACCCTCTGACCTGTCAACTGCTCGAACAAGTCGACCATTTCCATAGTCTTCCCAATATCCCCCGATACCCCCGAGGGTGCACGAAAGAAGATGGAGGCATAGCCTTCCAAAGCCTCTTCGATATATGCCTGCTCCTGCCCATCACTGGATCAATCCCAGCAGTGTGGCGCTCGAGTGGGGACATGCTGGGCACATGTGCCTCTACAGGGTGTGCAACAACGTCCCCAGGGTCCACCTGTCGCTCCTCCTCGTTGCGATGTGCAACCATAGCATCCACCGCGACAAGACCATCCTGAGTGTGATCTGCGACCACATCCTCCATTGCGGCAACGACAACGGCGACAAGTGCTCTATCCACCTGCCCCTCCACCTCCGTGCCATCGCACCCAAGCAACCCCTCTGCGTCTGTCGTGGCCGCGCTGTCGCCCCCGTCCGCCTCATCAGTAGTGGGTAGTACCGTGTCGCTGGCCCCACATAAACCACCCAACCCTACCCTCGCGTCCTCCTGGTGGTCGTCCGCACGAGCCACCACGTGTCCCTCTGTGCAGAGTCCTCCACCATCTGCAACATCTGCAGGACCATCGTGTCTACACTCTGCTGCTAGTCTGGCGGCAGTGACCTCCTCTACACTACACCCCATCTCCCTCGTCCTGGTCGTGTCCTGCTCCAACGCAAGCCGCTGTGTCGTGGCACACCCCGACACCATCCGTGCCAAACTCTCCTCCTCAAGCACGTCCTCGGGTTCCATATGTAGCCTCCTGGCAACACGACCGCCGTCGTCACCAGTCCTGCCCTCCTGTATCTCGCTTGACGCTCTGGCAGCCTCTGTCAACAAACCTGAACTAACACCACAAAAAACCGACCCTATGAGGTGTGCGACTTCGCTAACCGGTGTCTGAACACGCACCCCGCCACGATGAGCATCTGAAGTGGGTGGACGTCCAAGGTCGAAGCCGTCACTGAAAATACCTGAGGGAATCGATCCCTGCGGTACCTCCAAACCAAATCCATGTCCGCCACTACCGCCCCCGCCCGCTGCACTGGGGCGAGGAGTAACAAGGAAGGCGCCACCCGCTCCGTCCTCTATCGGCCCACTGCCATCACCGTCGTCGAATCCATGCTCGTCCCCATGTCCTCTGTCCTGGTCGGGTCCCTCTCTCTCGACGTCGGAGTCCTCGTCATAGGCGGCATCTCCGTCGTCAGACCTGTCACCTCCGTCGTCCTTGCTCGACGATCGCACAACCTGTGTCTGCTTGCGCCCTCTATCCGCCGCACCCCTAGTCAAGGGAGGGGTCATGCGATCAACATCACAATGGTTCTGCCGATCCCACGAACGCATATCATTGGCAGCCTCATGATCACTCTCTCTGTTGGACTCGTCACCAACATCAGGTGTGTCACTTCCTCTCTGCTCCAAGTCCTCCGGGTCCGTCCAGGGCTCTGCCTCCATCTCGTCTGCAGCATGCGGGTCCGTGGGTGGATCGTACTCGATCTCCTCGTGGTACAACTCGATATGAGCTTCACGACGACCAAACACAGTCTGAACCGCAGGGGGGTGGCGAACCGTCGAGTCATGCTGCATCCTGCGCGCCTGGCGCGTCCGTCAATGACGCCGACGGCAGAGTACCTGATCTGCGCGGCTCTGGGACGTCGTCCAACCCCTCCTCAAGATCACCCCACGGCAGAACAAGTCCCCTCCTCCTCTGTCTACACGCCAGGAGCTTCTTGTTCGTGCATATCTCCACCATTTCAGTCAGCTTCGTGAAGTCCAACCCGTTGTGGCGCTTCTCGTGGATACGCTCGTGCAATGCCCAGTTCCTCTCCGCAGGAGAGGCGCAAACCCACGTGTACATCAGACGTGTGGCGATGACACAAAGCTCAAGGGCACAACTGCCGTGCAAAACCCACCAATCAGCAATGACCTGTGTCTCATCTAGCCCCTCGCACGTGTCCTCGTCTCCAGTGCCTGCATCTCCACCCCAATCATACCTCGGCCCGTACGCGTGGAAGTCGTACAACTGCTGACGGACCAACCTGTACATGTCTCCCTGCCGGTCTAAGCCCGTCTGTGTGTAGATGTACTCAAGTGTCATCTCCGCCACCTTCTTCTGCTGATCGCTGCGCCTCGGAGACTAGAAGTAAACGAAGTTCCGCCTCTTGGGATTGAGAAGATGGGCGGTAACATGGGCGGGCTCGAGCAGATGGCATGCTCGAGCGTAACAATCCTGCAGCATGCCAACCAGGCGAGGTCTCGTCGACTCCAACTTCCGAATCTCCTCGGCCAACTGGGTCACCCACCGAAAGATGCAAGAGATCACCAAACCCCCCTGGTCCAAAATCCTCAACAACTGCACTACCAGGGTGAAGACGTCGATGAGATCATCCATCTCCTCCCAAAACAGCCCGCATCGCACCTGTGTGCGCACCCACCCGGCCTGCCCGAGCAGCCTCCTCTCCCATGGAAGTCGCGCCCAATCCCCCTTCGACATCATCATCTCAAGTGGAACCCTGCGGTCGTGCAACCTCTCCATCATGATGTACATAGACGCGAATCGCGTCTGGCAGGGGTACAACAACTCTCGGCCGCGTCGTGGTCTGCCTATTGTCCTCTCTCCACCCGCGGCGCTGCCACCCAAACGGTCCGCATGTGCATCGCGATCGGCCCTCGCGTTGTAACTCCTGAACAACGCGAGAGCCGATCCGTGACATCTAATGAATCGGACAACCGTCCTCGCCCTGGTCAACAAGTCGATGGCCCATGTCTTATCCTTGACCATGTCTGACAACATCAAATTGCAGCAATGGACAGAACAAGGGAGCCAAGGGATGCGACAGATATCTGGATCGGGATCGTTACAAAGCGCTCGACCGGCGGCGACATAAACTGATGCAGAGTCCGTGCAGATGGCGTTGATGTTCCTCACGCCGAACTTCTCGAACACCTTCTTCCAGCGCTGCAAGACGACATCTGACGTCTCTGCGTCAACCCCTTCCCTACGCACCGTCGTGAAAAGAAGGCGCCCGACTGTCCTGCTGCCAGGAAGTTCACGATGGGCTCAGAGTTCAGGGACTTCCTCCCATCCGTGAGGATGGTAGCCCCTGTGTGCTGCATCTGCTCGCGTATGTCACGTAGCTTATCAGCTATGTGTGCACGCTCCTCCTGTATGCCACTGCCTGCTATGCGCTTGAACTGGGGCAAAGTAGGCTTCATGCCCCGGGGCATGTTCTGCAAATGTCTCGTGAGGGCCCTGTACTCGGGCATCCTCGCCCTCTCAAATGGGACACCGCCAATATGCCACCACTGCAGGAAGAGATGGTCGAAGGTGGTCTGCCACTCCAGGTCGTATATCTCATCCAGTCTGACCTGCTTCAAACGTTTCGGATCCGGCACGCGTGCCGCAAGAGCGGTGTCCGCCCTCCTCTTCCCACGACCATCCATAGGCGCACGAGTCCTTGTATGATGAGCAGTGCGTCGTGCCTTCAATGATCCCCCCTGAAGGGACGCTCCTAACTCCTGAACATCGTCCTCGCCGCCGTCCTCCATCGGTCCCTCGCCCTCACCCTCCGCCCCTGTGTCCATCTCATCGTCCTCGCCGCCACAACGTCCTCCCTCGTTGTCCGCCGCCTCCCGGTCCAAAACATCCTGCACCTCGTCATCCTCCCCCACTCCAACTCCCACCTCTCTGTTATTCCGGATGCCATGATACTCCATGTAATCCCGCACTTGTCTCTCTCGCCGCTGGTCGGAAGGGTACTGTGTGGTATTCCAAATGTCCACGAGGACCTCTGGTGTCACCTTGGGGCACCTACCCTTCGTGAAGTGCTCAGCACCCCGCGCCTGACTGCCCTCGAAAGGTGCTTTGTCGCAGAAGGGGCACTTCATCTTGAAGTTGCCCTTGCAACTCTCCAGCGTCTGACCCTTCGTCAAGTACTTGAATATGCCGCAGCGGCGAATAGCCTCACGCTGGTCGTCGTCCTTGACCGGCACAAAGGCCTCCTTCGCGCCCTCCCCTTCCCCCTTTTTCCTTTTCCT